GCTAGGTCGACAGGAGAATTCTTCCGTCAACCTAACTACCACCTCTCGGAGTGCTACAATGGTTTTTACATTTGGCTGTGAAGAAACCTGTAGAGTCTGGAAAGATAATGACAAAGTGACGAAAATACTCTTTCTTCATTACTAGACTGCTAGAGCAGCAATAAACATAGGTACATTTTAGGCAGAATTAGCAGTTTACTATGGAAATAGAATTAAATCTGTATATCCAGGAAGAATATAATAGTTTTTCCTCTCTTAAAAACTGTCCCATACCTCATTAGCTGTGTTGTGAGTTCCAACTATTCTGATGAAGGATGCAGGTTGTCTGTCAAAAGTTATCGCTTGCCAAGATCTACAAAAGAAAGCAGAGGGACATACAGTATTAAGCAGAGTCACCACAGGTTGCAGTGAAATACAGAAAGAATCCATTGAAGTGACAAAACAGGCTGTAATTGAATGGGCCCAGAAGGGGACACACTTTTCATGGCCTGAATTTCCAGCAGTCTTTGTTCGGGTTAGATTTTTTAAGTGCCTTGACTCTACTTAGGTGTATTCCACACAAAATTCAGTACAAAAATTAATACAGTTAAGCTCTAACTATTGTTAAAGACCTTTAAGAAAAATGGTAATAGAAAAAATTATTGGTCAGAATTCTGAAGTTCCTTTGTATTAATTTCTGACAGTATTACTAATAGAAATATACAGGAGGAAATGGATGTTAGCATTAACTACCTGTAGAGACCAAAGGAATCACGAGGGCAGGATTAAGGCAAATCGGAGTTGTAGGCACATGATGACATGAACTCCCCGCCCCTGCATGGCTCCACCCCATGGCCTCACCCCAGTGCTGTGTCCTCATTCCCCACTTCAAATGGCAGTGATGCCACCCTCCCTTTCTAAAGGCAACGATATGGGGTCCCCTTCATTCAGCCAGGAGTGGCAGGAGCAGCCCCTCCCGCTGGGAACAGCAGCCCCCCCCCACCCTTATCCCCTCACTGGGGCAGGAGCTGGGGTGTAAACATTGGGTAGATGGGGCAAGACTGAGTCCACTGTACTCTTCTCTTGCTACACACACAGTCCTCTGTTTTGGGGGTTAGGGAAGAAGAGTATTAGTGGGGTCCCACAGAGAAGTGGATCTTAGAAATTAAAACCCCACTGAGATGCACAGGCTCTCTGCAACTATAAGGGCTAGAAACATTCTTCTGAAGTGATCACATGATTCAAGGTGCTGGGGCCCTAATATTGGTCTTTAGTACCTATGCCTTTATCTGGCCCTGGGAACCACCCATGTCTTCTAGGGTATGTCTACACTGCAATTAGACACCTGTGGCTGGCCTGTGCCAGCAGACACAAGCAGGCAGAGCTCAGGCTAAGGGGCTGTTTAATTGCAGTGTAGGTATTCGGGCTGCAGCCCAAGCTGTGGGACCCTCCCACCTCGTTGTATCCTAGAGCCTAGGCACCAGCCTGAGCCCGAATGTCTACACCACAGTTAAACAACCTCTTAGCTCAAGTCAGCCCCGGGTTTTTAACTGCAGTATAGATAAACCCTTAGTTACGCTTTGCTTGCTTGCTTGGTTCTTGAAAGCTTCAGTCATTTGTCTGTGCATTTTTAGTGCATCCATGACCATGGTACCTTGGTCCCATAAATCCTTGATTAGTATCATGATTATTGCAGTTTACACAGCATATTTCTAATCAGTTTGTTGGCACCCACAACTGTAATAATCACATAGTATTTTTATCTAAAAGATTTGCAGTCCATAATTAGATTTCTTCCTTCCACATCAGATAGTTGCAGACACATGTTTTTCAGTGATTATTGCTAGTTACAAATGAACGATCAAAAATTATTTATATTTAGATTTATGTCAGGTGCAAAGTTCATTGTTCTTTGGACTCTTTACTGAATCCTATATAAAGGATATAGCAACATAAAGCAATTTTAAAGAAAGAAGACCACTTATTCAACACGTTAACTTAGTACTTATTCTTCATTATAACAAAGGGAAATATATCAGCTATTAAGAAAGGCAAGAGGTAGAAAATCATAGGGTATGTCTAAACTGCAGTTGAGAAGTGTGACTGAAGCACACTCACACATACCAACGCTAGCTCTGATCTAGTTATATCAGAGCTCTCTCGAGTTAGAATAGAAGTGACGCCATGATAGTCAATGGAAACAAGTTACTCTCATCTCACTTTTAGGGATCCCACTCATTACAGAATCCCAGAGAGATACAGTTGCCTTAGTTTTATGTAAACGGTTTTATATGCAGCCAATTGTGTAAACTGAAACTGCAGTCAATTTATATTTTGTCCTCACTCTTTCCTGTACTCCACCTGGTTTACTTACAGCAATTAATAAAGAAAAAAATGCATGCAATAGGACAAATCAGCTCCCATAAGGAAAGAAACCTTGTTTCAATTTTTATGATATACTGTAAAATCATCCCTGCATTGTGATTTTTAAAAAGAAAATTGCTTCCTCAACTTACTGCCTTGGAGTCTGACTTTTACATCATTATCCTTTTCTTGAACAGGAATATTTGATTTGCAAACATTGTGGGGGTCATAATGTTGTGTAGCAGACTTTGCATGGGATTGTGAAATCTCTCCCTCCTAATAATATAGAGCAGGATTACCCCAATAAACAATACGCAAAGCACTTTGATTCCCACCATTCACTCAAGCTCACATATCATGCTAAAAGTGAAGGAGGAGGAACAGGAAAGAATAATACGATCTGAAGGTCTCAGTTTAAGAGCAATCTTCCATTATACACCTCTACCCCGATATAACGCTGTCCTTGGAAGCCAAAAAATCTTACCGTGTTATATGTGAAACCATATTATATTGAACTTGCTCTGATCCACTGGAGTGTGCAGCCCCGGCCCCCTGGAGCACTGCTTTACCGCATTATATCCGAATTCGTGTTATATCGGGTCGCGTTATATCGGGGTAGAGGTGTACTGGATTTTAGAGAAACAAGGTGAGTGAGGTAATATCTTTTATTGGACCAACTTCTGTTGGTGAAAGAAGTTTTCGAGCTACACAGAACTCTTCTTCAGCTCAGCAACACTGCAAACATTATATTGGATTAACACTTAATTGCATTAGAATTTATTGTCAATAATACAACCTGAATGCTAGATACAAAATTAACCTTCATTAAAACCACCATTACAAAGGGATTTGAATGATAAAAAAGTAATTAATGCAATCTGATGAACTTCCTGAAGAGAAAAAAATCAGACATTTTCCTGAATTTATTCAGAATAACTTCAAATGTTGTTAACAGAAGAAACAAGATAGCAACAGAAAAAGTGACAGGCACATCAGAGACAGTCTGTTATAACAGCTTTGCTGTTCACAGGGCCATTTGACTTGAACTAGAGTTTGATCCTGATAGTAAACTATCGATCTCTTCTTCACAAAGATGGTATTACTGTGTCTAGGTTTTACTAGTTTTATTATCATGAGGTTGTATTAATTTAAAGGAGACTATGAATCTCAATCTGTTCTTACGCCAGTTTTACTGCATTGACTTCAGTGGAGTTATTTGTGATTTACGTGAGATATGAATCTGCCCCCCCCCCACCACCCTCCCAAGGTACAGCATCTATCTGCACTCATGGCCTGCACATAATATATTGTTTATTTGTATTCCTTATGTGGTTTGGGTCCCTCCTATTATAGAGATCTGTCTCTCTCTTCATGCTCTAAATGAAACATGAAATCAGATAGGACTCTTTCACTGACTATCCCTATCTTTGTACGTCTGTGGGAGTGCAAGTATGTTCTCAGTGGGGTATCCTTGCTTCTTGAGTTGCTTCCCTTATTAGTCTGACAGTGCCTGAGTCAATTAATGTTCAGGGCCTATTGCAAGTCCTACATATTCACTTATGCTTTTGTATGAGATGCAAACTGCCAAAGTCGAGTTTCTGTTTTATTTTGGAGAGTTGTGGCACTCTTACTAGTAATATTCCATCATCACTTCAGTTTGCATTAATGCATGTGCTTGCACATATATGTATATGCAATTCATGTACTGAAAAATAAATATTTCTTTTTACAGATTGAACACTAAGAAGAAAAAGCAATATGGAAAGGCTAAATCTGCCTCTCTCCAGTGATCTGGAAAATAGTCTAAAATTATGCTATGTGAAGGAGTGTAAAATGCTAAGAAAAGTTATTAGGAAGGGGCTATGCCTTTGTGGCTTCCCAAGTTAGGAAACATGTAGTTATGGGACCAGGAAAAAGTTAGTTCAGGGATCCTAATATACAATGTAAGTAGAAATATATCTATTTATAGTCATTCTGAGCACAGGTCAAATAATAGTGCCATCCTTCAATGCAGACTCCCCCCAAAATGGGAATAAGTAACAAAGACTGTCATCTCTCAGATGAAGTGGGGACAATGGGGCAGACGCATCCACCCAGTCATGCAGCAGTGGAATGTGACTGATATCAAAAGGCATTGAACAAGTGGTAGAAGTCCACTGAAGATCCTTTCAACAACATTTTATGTGATTGCTTCCTGCAGTGACCTCACAACTGCTGCCATGACTGGCAGGTAGGGGAATCCTTATTGGCTGCCACAGTGCTGTGACTGGAAAAATACCACAATCACTTCTTTAAGCATATTGAAAGATGATGTAACAAATCTGAAGATTTTCTTGAGGATTTGAGGGGAGACGGGGGTTTTAACTTTTTATTAAAGTTGGTCCAGAGCCTCTTACTATTTTTTGGTACATACAACACCTATTTCCATGCTGGTTCAACACTTATTTACAACATTAGAAAATAAATTTCATAGTTATCAAACAACCTCCCAGTATCCACCACCATTTTCCCCCTAACCTACTGATACATTCTAACACTGAGTGGCTAATTCACTGGTCTACAATTTTTGAGAAGTCGTCTGCTTCAGAGATAAAATGTGCTATTTATTATGTATTTTGATGTGCTGAATTCAAATATGACAATTAAAACAACTGATTGGCTACTGTTTCTAAGATATTTAAGTTTTTACATTTTATGTCTATGTATATTGTGTAAATAGTAGAGTTTAATTCGTAAATTGTAAACCTAGGTCTTTTCTATGTGTTTATTGGTTGTCTTTACTAT